AGGGAGCGGTCGTAGGTGTTGGGGGGGCTGGATCCGTCGAAGGCTCATGATTATCGGTGTTGRTAGTTGTATCATTAGTGTCATCATCRGTGTCAAGACTAAAAGGATCAATATTRCGAAGATCTGACTGGGTAACACTAGGAGTTTGAGCAGGAATAGAAAAGAARGGAATGTGCTCTAGAAAAGTAACATGACGCGAGACATAGAGCTTTTGACTTGTCGGATCATAACAACGATATCCTTTTTGTCCTGTACCATACCCTAAARATACACATAAGGCGGATCGAGGGGACAACTTGGTCCTCTCAACATGTGGACGAAGGACAAAACAAGTACAACCAAAGACACGAAGAGAAGAGTAATCTGGTGGGTGTCCATAAAGAGTTTCAAAAGGTGACTTGCCTGAATTTTGCTTGGTCGGAATTCGATTAATTACATGGGTAGCGGTTAGACGAGCTTCCCCCCAGAAAACACTAGGAACCTCAGAGGACAATAACAGAGAGCGAACGGTTTCAACCAAATGTCGATGCTTCCGTTCGGCGATACCATTTTGTTGCGGTGTGTCGGTACATGATGACTGGTGTATGGTACCATCAGAGGCAAGCAACTTAGTGAAATCATTAGAAGTGTATTCACCACCTAAGTCACACCGAAAACACTTAATGACAGCGGAATGTTGAGTTTTTACAAGGGCTCGAAAATTACTAAAAATAGAAAAGAATTCAGATCTTCGTTTCATAAGATAAACCCAAGTRTAACGAGTGTAATCATCTATAAAARAAACATAGTAAGAGGAGCCTCCCTTTGAAGCAACAGGAGAGGGACCCCACACATCAGAATGTATAAGATTAAAAGGAGCAGAAGAAAAAGAAACACTTCTAGTAAAAGGTAAAGCTGAAAATTTTGCAAGTTTACATCCAYTACAATCTGAAATGTCATGACTACTTAAACGACCCAAAACACCAGTGGATGCTAAAAATTGTAAAYGAGGASTTGATATGTGACCCAAACGCGAATGCCAAAGATAAAAATCAGAAGACGAATGACTCAAACGAAAAGAGGATAGATCAACACTGCAAGCTACCACACCGGATAGATTGAGTTCTTCAACGACATAAAGCTCCCCTAGCCTACGGCCGATCCCAATCACCTTCTGAAACTGCGAGTCAAAAACATAACAAACAGTGTAAGAGAARAAAACCCAATAGCCAGATTTACATAAYTGACTAACAGAAACAAGGTTTAAAGCAAGATCTGGAATGTAATATACATCAGTAAGAGAGACTTGGGGGGTAACAACAGAACCAACTCCTTCTACTTGCATAGACGATRCACTAGCAGATAAGACCGAGATGGRAGAAMCARGAAATAAAGAAACAAAAGATGATCGATGAGGTGACATATGGTGGGAGGCCCCAGAGTCCAAAATCCATAAAGAGGAAGGTATACCTGTACTGCTGGAGGAGGACAGACCTGAGTGAGACATAGAGGCAGACATAGCAGTAGGATTCATGGCAAGAAACTGTTTAAACTGCTCAAACACCTGAGGATCCAAAGCAGACGGTGGTGTGATGTTGGGAGGTGTCTCTGCAGATGGTGCAGCAGCAGCAGCAGCACTAAACTGTTGTGGACGAAATGGCTGAAACGTTCCAGTAGGGCGGGGCTGGAATGATGGCGGAGAATTTCCAGGAGGTTTATTCTGCTGCTGCTTTCTCTGAAGTAATAAGGGACATTGAGCCTTCCAATGATTCTTCTTCTTGCAAAACGCACACTCATCAAAAGCAACTTTAGCAGGTGGTCTAGACTGATTAGATGGTGGCTGTTGTGGGACAGCAAAAACAGCAGGAGTGGGTGGTTTGGAATTTTCATTGGCCTAAGTTTTTTGACGAGTCTCTTCTGCCATTAGTTCATGAACAACAGAAGCAACATAAGGAAGAGGGGTTCGATGCATAATTGCACCACGTAAACCTTCAAATGCAGATCGTAARGCCATCAAGAATTGTACYAAGCGCTGCTCTTCCCTTCTATCAATATAYGGTTTGAAAGCCCTTAGTTCTGCAGATTCTGTTTGTGCCAACTGATCCCACAAGATAGACATTGYAGAGTAGAACTCTTGTATACCCATGTCATTCTGTTTCAAAGCACGAATGTCTGTCTCCAATTGGTACTGTTTGGCAAAATCCGATTGARTATACAAGTTATKCAAATGATCCCAAATTTCTTTTGCAGTCTCGAACTTAGCCAACTGAACCCCAATAGATTGCACAACAGAATTATTGATCCATGTGATAATCTTTGAATTATTAGTCTCCCAAGTATCAAGCAAGGTTACATAATTTTCCACTTTATTATCAGTAGGTTTACGAATAGTGCCACTGATATGCCCCCACATATGTTTTCCAATCAGAAAATGCTTCATTACATGACTCCAGTAACTATAATTCTTTCCATCTAGTGTTGTGCTAATGGACTGTAGTGAATCCTCTCTAGAACCCATGGCAGCGGACAACAACGAAAACCCAAAAAAAAAATACGAACAACGCAATCAAAAAATACCAATCGAATGCAAAGCAGCAAATACGTAGAACGACAAATACGAATCAGCGGCACAAAACGAAACAATTGAAAAATACGAWCCAGAATCGGATGAACAATACGAAGCCTTCCATGAACATCAAATCAAATCAAAGGGTGGATTGACATGGCTCTGATACCATGTAGAAATATGAGAAAGTAACCGATAGCTTGGTAGCTAGGGTTTTATTATGATTTATGTATGTATTTACAAGAGAAACATAAAGCCTATATATAGACTAGGAAACTAGGGTTTCTAAGCCCAACAAGAGAATAAGCCCAATAGGCTAAAACCCATTTATGCTAACAGATATGTGAAGGTAAATCAATGTAGGTGAAGTTGTGTGGATGCCATGCAAGTGAACGATTGTCTGGTCTCCCTTGAAGAAAAAAGGAAAGTGCCCTCCTTTACAAAAAGAACACGTTCTTTCAGGTCTATCAGATCAAAAGAGATCAATGGCTATGAGTTGTTCTCACCGGAATTTAACCATATATAATATATTATTAAGAGGCTTAAACGGTTAATGGGTTTTCTTTACCATCTTATTCACATCATCATCATCATCTCAAAACGACACTGATTTCTTTATCTAGTCGTTGTATGACGATTTTGTTGGTTCAGATGAAACTTCACAGGTACTGGAAAATTTATGAACAGTTGCAGAGGGGAAGGGCAGACAATCGAGCATTAACAAGATGCATTCATGAGCTGAGGATGAAAGGATCCTGTAAATGGGAAGAGGTTGAAGAGCTCAAGTGTAGAGATCAAATGGAAGTGTTGTCAATATCTCATCACTATCTGGCTTGTTTTTGTTATTGGTTCGGCTGTTCCTGTTTGCAGCTTCATGCTATGGCAGTTTTGAAGGCCCATTGGGGTTACTATGATGCTTTCGCATGAGAATGTGTCGAATTTCTGATTTGAGATGGTTAACACTTGCATTTTTTGGTGTCGGCTTCAGAGCAGTAGCAAATTTTCATGCCGTCTTCATGAAAATTGCAACATTTGTTACGACACATAGTTCTATGAAATTATCGGACTATCTGTCAAATGCCAATAATGATGAAAAAAGGGAACTTGTAGACTACAATGGCTTCCATACTAGAGACCACCAAGGGCCATGAATTATGGAAAAATGCCAATAGGAAGGAGGGGAGAAAAGACCTGTCAAACTAGTCTGTCTGGGATGGGATGTCAGATCTAGAGAGATATCACTACTACGTAGTGATGGTGACTTTGGGCAAATGGGTGATACTGACTTCAAAAAGTTAATATGCAACAATCAAAAATTCACAAGTCGAGTAAAGCCACCAAAACATACTTGATCCAAAACCAAGTTGATAAACACTTTAACTTGATCAATACCACCAAAAGAAATCATTTTTAACTCAAAATACATTTCTCAAAGAGTTAAAATAGTACGTACGTTATCTCAAATCATCCAAATGCCCAATAAAACCCATTTTTATGAAATAAATATCATTTGGTGTCTCAAAACACCCGATAAATCATCATAAACATTTTTAAGAAATAAATATCATCTGATTTGTATAAGATTTGGGTAGTTAGATATAAAATGATACAACTAAGAGACATAAACCAATTTAGTAAGAAGGATAAGTTTCCAAATGGTTTTCCCTCGCATTGTGTTCTCAAAATCTTTATTACGAAGGAAAGTAAAAGAAAAACTCGTGTTCATACAACCTTTTTAGGAGATGGAGGAAAGTAAAAATAAAGATAAATTTACTCTTAAATGTGGGAGCAAAATTAAATGAAAGAAAAATTGTAACCCTTTAATATGTAAGACTATAAAATATGCAAATCCAAATATAACCATAAGGCAAATGACATTACTAAATCAACGGTGGTCGGCGATGGTTCAAATCGGTGGTTCAGATCAGTGGTTGTCCATAATGGTTCAGATGGTTGTGGTCAGTAGTGGTTCAGATCGATGGTGGTCCGCGGTCGTTCAAATTGGCAGTAGTGGCGGTGGTTCAGATCGGTGGTTGTTCAAATCGTTGGTGGTTGGCGATGTTCGGCGATGATCGACAGTGGTTCAGATCGCTGGCGGTTGGATGTGGTTCAGATCAGCGGTGGTTGTTCAGACTGGTGATGGTCGGCAGTGATTCAAATCGATAGTAGTTAACGGTGGTTTAGATCGATGGTGGTCCATGGTGGTTTAGATGGCGGTGGTTCAGATCGATGGTTTTCGGCGGCGGTGGTCGTCAATGGTTCAGATGGTGATGATCAGCGCTAGTTCAGATGGCGGTGGTCGATGGTGATTCAGATTGACGATGGTCGAAGATGGTTGACGATGGTTATATTGGGTTTTATGAGATTAGAGTATATTGGGTTAAGAGCATATTTGGTATCATGAAAATAGAGAATTTCATTCAATCAAAATACCATATAGTTGCTAAGGAATGCTAAATTCCTTTATTTGTGGAATTTGTAGGATTTTGAAGATTTATTTCGTGAAAAAGAATGAACCAAATGAGGGAATGAAATTTGGTCAATTATATTCAATATTCCAATTCCATCAGATTCCTTCAGAATATGTGAACCAAACGCCTCATAAGTGTCATAATAGATTGTTTTATAAGTTTATAGAACCAAACAGTTGTTCATTTTGCAATAAGTTTATAGAGTGTGTTAACAAAAAATTTAGAACATTTTATTTTTAAAATAATGTATCATCTTTTTTTACGTTATGTTTTTTTTGAAAAATACCTTATGAATATATCTTTTTATACGACACTTTTTATGAGACAATTTTTTAAATAAGGACATAAAAATTAGGGCAAATTGCGTAAAAAAGTAACGTATTTTAACTTGATATGAGGTAACGTACTTTCATAACTTTTATTTTGGTATCTAAGATGTAAAGTTTTAAACATTTAAGTACCTGGGTAACCGCAACCGGTTACCATGCTGATGTGGTGAGTGATGGGATGAAATTGGGTTGAATAGCAAATAATACTGAGTTGGATACCACATCACTCGCCACATCAGCATGGTAACCGGTTAATGCTTCAACCGTTTACCCGGATACTTAAATGTTTAAAATTTTACATCTTAGGTACCAAAATGAAAGATTTAAAAATACGTTACCCAAAATAAGAAATTAAGTTAAAGTACGTTACTTTTTCATGCAATTTGTCCTAAAAAATAATAATACACTTCATTCCAAAAATGTCCTAAGAACATGTTTAGAGGCTCAACGACATCCAATAAACTTACTATAACGCTTTTATATATGATGCACAGTTATTATTTTGAGCAATATGCATGAAATAGCAGACTTCCAAAATTTATTTATTATAACATTGTATTTTCATTTTTTTTCTTATTATAGAGCCTTATTAAAACATTGTACTTTGAACAATTACCAATTATTAATTTAAATTATGATGACATGGAGGTTTTGAAGTATAAATACTAAATCAATATTAACTTTTTTCAAACCATACATCAATCAAACCCCAGCTTGCATCCAACGACATTGCTCCCCCTTGTCGTCCCATTGTCGTCTGTTCACCCATCGCTGTCGTTAGCCCCTACAATCAATCTCTTTTTTGACCTGTTTTTTAGTCTTTTGGTTTTTCTTCTTTTCAAACAATTTAATGGACTATATATACACGGGAGGATCAGGATATATATATATATATCATGGCATCGGAGCAAAGGGATGAGAAACAGCTAAAGGTTAGTGGCGATGGTGACGTGAGAGATGAAAAAGATTCAAAATAATTGGGGACAAGAATGATAACAGAAGCAGTAGCAGTAGCAGTAGTTTTCATGAATATGATGATGCTTCTGATAATATAATGCATTAAAAAATATCAACTCAAAAACTTAGAAAAATACACGTGACTCTTTAACATTACCTACAGATCTTGTAAAATAGGCCACCCTTTTCGTATAATTTCATTGATCTTGCCATCTATCCGACTCTGGATTCTTGGCGGACACAGCTCTGCTGCATATCCGTTCAGCTTCGATGCCAATCTTGATTTCTCCAGTTCTTCTTCCGCCAAGTTACCAATCAGCTGAAGAAGGAAGGGGTTTCGTTTTAGCTCGAATTTCTGCATATTTTACACCGTAAGTTGCTTTCATGTCTCAATTCCAAGGTTCTAAACTGCTTGAGGCGTGGTGTGGTGAGGTGATCAATTTTTCAAGGCATAGCTTAAGCCGGCAAGTCTGTATATCATATATATATATATAGAGAGAGAGAGAGAGAGAGGAGGTTCAAACGAGAACGGTAACTAAATAAAAAAACACGAAAACAGTCAACTCACGTGCAAAATCACATGTGACTTTACACTATCCGTCAACGCAAGATTGTGCGGGAGACGTGCCCCGCAACCTCTAACATGGTCAGGGTCGGGTGAATCACATATGATTTTACACGTGATTTTAGTGTAAAATCGCATATGATTCGACCGTTTTCTTATTCTCGTATGAACCCGATTCTATATATACATATGTATACACACACATGTTTTCTACTATTACTCGATAATATTAAACAAGTTATTCATATCAAAAGAAGAAGAATCATGTATTGATATACAGGTAGGTTCAAGAAAGAAACACAAAAAAAAGGAGAATAAGGAATCCATCCAAGCCATCCATCTATTTTGATCCAACTATTCGATTACATTTTTCCAAAACCAAATCCACCATTGTAAGCATGGATAGACCCAATGTAGAGCCTACGGTGGCCTGTGCCATCGTATTGTTCATCCGACGTAGTGTAAAAAATTTAGGGTCGTAAAAAGTGTCATCGTATTAATTTGTTGCGTGCCACCTACATATTTTAAAACTACAACGAGAACAGAAGTTTTCCTTGGTAGATTTAGTTTGCAAGACTTTTCTTCCACCCCAGACACGAGTTCGAATCATATTAGTGTCATTTTCTTAGTTTTTATCTTCTAATTTCAGATCTAGTATGTTTCTGAAAAAAAAATTGCAATAAAAGACTTGAATACAAGACCTCACATCTGAAAATCAATGAACTAACCAACAGACCAATTTTGATTTTGAGAAAAATATCCCTATATTTGTTTCTTGCAGTCAAATGGTGCCACTGTTTGAAAAACGTTCTGGCTCCGTCCTTGATTATAAGAACGGTTACATTCAAATCTGGGTTTAGATCCAATGTTTAATAGGGTTACCCTTGTTCTCTCTCTATATATAGAGCTTACAAAAAATGCTATATCAAAAGCTCATAACAAAAAAAAGTGAGAGAAAAAGTTCAACCAATGGTAAGAACTAAAAAGGAAATACTCTACCTAAAAAAATTAAAAGAATGTAAACTTTAAGAAAGTCAAACAAAGTCAAATATCACTTCAAAAAGATGTGAGAAATAATGAGTGTCAAAACGTCATGGCGCACGTCTTGCCTTACACAGACGTTGTATGGGTTAACGTGGCATTGGGGTTTCGTCTGGATGCCATGGCGTGCCTTTTAGAATCGTGCTTGATACTACTTTTGTATGGTTTTTACAACAACTAGCAAGGTCATTCGGATCATGGGATCAAATCATTATGTACTGGTGGTATTCGATCCATGTAAGTGTATGGTAGCAGCAAGCCTAATAATTTCTACCACTTGACTGCATAATTGAAGACTTCAATTGCTTAACTGTTGATACCATGTAAAAGTTCAGTCATCAGAACGTAATTTTTCGCTCTGTTATTATTCTATAGACGATAAAGGACAAAGGGGAAGGAACTGGCTGCAGTTCTTGTTCCTAAAAATCGGTTTAACTGCCATATACTTGTTTGAAAACCATAAGAACAAACTATTCATGATGAATATACACTAAATATTCATGAATATTATTTAACATAATTTCATCATTCATGATGAATATGCGTCATGATATTCATCATGAACAGTTGGTTCTCACATTTCTTAATACTTGTTTATGGAACAATGGTAGAGTGTAATACAACCTCTAAATCATCACAGGCTTGGTTTAGAAACCACAGAGAATTGAATTAAGAATAACAAACCTGGTGTTCAGGCTCTGCAGGATAAAAGGTTCCAAGCTGTTGAATTTGGGTAGTTACAATGCTACTCCTCGACTTAGTTTGCTCTCTTTCTTTGCTCACGGCAGCCAATCTGGACTCATCGGTTCCATTAGTAAAAATAATAGACCTGTTGAACCAAAAAAGGTACATTGGGGAAGTTTAGAATTTGAAAAACAAAAAATCATGGAAAAGAAATTACAAAAAAGGCTATATGTATGCCACCTGTATTGGTTGCCGACATCAGGACCTTGTCCAAACACTTGCCTAGAGTCGTGGCTAGACCAGAAGACCTCCAAAAGTTGCCTGAAATTAATCAGCCGAGGATCATATTCAATCTGCACAGAGTTCATATGATGCAAGTTCCCTTAAAAAAATTCAACAAATTGTCTCAAAATGTAATTTACATTTTAGATGACATTGTAATACACAATACAATTGTTTCTACATGTCAAGATATATTCAGCTAAACACCATGCAATACATGGAAGAAGGCATAAACAACTGACTGCATATCAATACATTTTGGAGTGTGGAAAAGATGAGCCAGTTCATCAAAAACTTTAGCAAGCACAAGCCTAAGATGCTTCAGGCTTGTTAGCTGTAAGAGCCTAAATGAGGAGCCCACCCCAGCTGGCATGAGACCCGGTATAATTTGTACTCTTTAGCCAGCCAGCATCTTGGGGCACTTCTAACTGTAAATTTTTTAGGTGCAAAATGCACCAAAAAGTAACAAAGTTTGGCTTAGTTTCTATTTAGTGTAAAAATGAACTAAATGTAATAAAATGTTGAACTCTTCCTAATCCATGCCCAATACAAATGGGTTTTTAGCCTATGTGGCATTGGTTGATTTTGAAGCGTATTTTTCCACATAATCAAGAATTACAATATAGCTTGACAACTTGACATCTACATCATTGATAACTACAACATCTACCAGTTACCGGTCAAAATGGATAAGGAATAGAAAGAATTGAACGTCTGTCACATTGACTGAGAAAAAAAGAAAAAAAAATCACTGATACACTGACTAGGAACCAACGCAAACTTTGTTTGCATTTTGGGCAATTTCTAATATGATTTAGTTGAAATTTTATTTGAAGCATTTAATTTTAATTTTATATGATCCCATATTAAAGTAGCCCAAGACCCATTCACTCTCAAGCCACATAAGTAAAACAAATCATATTTCAGATAAAACTCATAAAAAACCATCAGAGTAATGAAGATGATTCTTTATAGAAGCATCTTAAAGTTTACAATAGAATGGAAAATTCAGAATTACCTCCTTGCAACCCAATTTCTTAAGTCTTACAGGATGCTTTCTTTTTCCAGTATGTTCTAGTTTTAGGCAAGTTTCTTTCGGCCAATTGATATTTAATCAGATATACCATTAACTGCATAAAGTGTAGCAGAAATCTGATTGTCTGCACTCTGCAGGCTTTGGTTAGATCGGATAAGATGCCTAATCGCTCAGATACATCTAGGCAGACACAGTATGCAATCAACCTTAACAGAAACTGAGAGACACACATGGTAAAGATCCTAAAGTAGGAGAGGCTATCAACAGTCCAGATTATATTGGACACTTTGGCGGTGTGCCTCAATGTGCAAGGTGATTCACTATGTACTGCCAGTTCTTGATAGAGTGTGATCCTCATTCCACTTCGTGTTCTCTCCTACTCATTGCACTTTTCCCCCATGTAACCACACAGGGGGCATGGGGATGTAAAAAGGGGTCCTATCAACTTGTTCTGACCTGAGATAATGAGCTTGTGAGCTTGGTTCAATCTTCCATATTCCATAGGAAGAAATTCCTTTTTGACTTGCCTTCCAATATTCATCTTTTTGGGAAGCCCATGTCCACATCCTTCACTTACTCATCCAAGGGATTGATTACATTTCAGCTAGATAAACCAACTTACTCTCTATTTGCACATAACTTAACACTAAATATATAAATGCCCTCCAGTTGTCCAGCCCCATTAAGAGTTACCATATGTCAAACCACAGTTGTTGGATTTCTGCAATTAGTCATCCAATTCATTTTTCACATGCTCCACCATCATCCTTACTGACTATAGTATCAATCTTCATCAAGGCATAATCAATGGAGGAAATGAAGCCTTGTTCTTGTCCAAAAAAACTAAATAAATACTTCTTTTTAAAAAAAATCTGAAACAACCAACATTGCTTTCTTTCTTCTCCAGTTTTATGCAAAACCATTTAACGATCTTATCCTAGCAAACAACTTTTCATATCGATTCTTGTTCCACATGCAACCCATTAGATTAAGCAATGATGGCCTCTATCTGAGGAGTTATAAACAAAGTCCCTATTCACTTCACTGTCACCAAATCAAATTAGAAATACACTAACGTCATCCTCAAAATCAAACTGAAGACTTTATAAGAAATTTATCATCAAGACACAAGTCTGTCAGAATTTATAACAACAAACAGAAGAACAATCTTAATTGAAAACACAATCAGATAGTGTTATGGACCTGCAACAATAATCTCCTCCGCCAAAATCAAGGCTGCTGTCTTGTAAATCTATTTTCATATAACTTGATCATATCTAACATGGGACAATGGTCCTTTTCGAAAAGTATACACAAAAACATTACCTCCCTTGACTCCTAACTGTTCTATGTAAACAGAACCAACCAAACGAACCGATGAATCCTATACGGAGTAGGCTTTGGGAGGGTAAGATGTAACCTTACATCCACAAAGAGAGTAGAGAAGTTGTTTTTCGTGAAGATCCAAGCTCAAATAAGCATTAAAAAAATATTTTCCTATAAAATTTTTGTCCTAACTATTCTTTGTGAGTCAGGTAAATAGCAATTAGCATATCTTCTTGTAATGTTAAACTTTGTGGACAATTTTTCATCGACCCTACCAATTAACGATAAATAAGCTCACAGGCATTATAATATTGATAACACGAGTCACGTTCCCAATCATATGACCAATCTTTAGTTCATAGACATGCAATTCTAAAATTAACCGGAGATCAACTGTAAACTTAACTTGAAATTCGACCGATTCAGATTTTCGAATGTTGATTACAAAGGTAGTACGATGTATGAGCAAAAAGTACGTACCTGTACGGATTCGGCGTGATCACCCAAGCTTCGGTACTCGGGATTGGATTTAGATCCACCGGCGTAGCCAACAGTGGTCCTCACAACTCCATCCAAGCAACCAAACACAGATTCCGACCTCCAGAAGCTTCCAAGAGAGAAAACCGCTGTCTTGAGAAGCTGATCGGGAGGATTTCCGCTGACTTGAGAAATCGGATTCGGAAATCTAATCCCAAGAGTTACATCAGCCGACACTATAATGCCAAGAAAAAAATATGACAAGATTTGTTGAAGATGATAAATCTTCATTAGGGTTTCTACGTGGTTCTCCGGGCTATTGACCGGAGATAAGTTCCGATCGATTAGGGCCGATCTCCGATTAGGAACACGGAATGGTATTGTTGTGTTAAACGAAACAATGTGCTTCACATTTCCTTTTGTACCGGAATTCAATAAATTACAAATAGACCCCTATACTTTTATATTTTTTCAGAATGGCACAGTATTTTTACTAGTGTTTACAATCAGCTCTCATGATGCATTTGTCATTATTTGTGTACATAGGCTTTGAAAATGTTAATCCTAGTTCTTATATATTTTTCGACTAATACATGGATATATATATATATATCAAATCATCTATTTCAATTTTAACCGATCTAAGGGGTCGTTTACCAAACACTTATTCGATAAGTGTTTATCGGCAAAAATTACACTATTATTTACTTACCGGGTAAGATTTTAGTCCATCAAAACGGCATCGTATGCAACAATTTACCCGATAAACACTTACCATGGTAAGAGTCGTTGCCCTCACTTACCGGGTAAGACTCTTGGTATTTGTCGTGCTCTTACTGGTAAGATTCTTGGTCTTTACCATATTCATCCGATAATGTAATGTGATTTGGTAAGGAGTAAGCATTTGGTAAACGACCCATAAATAACATAAATGATTAATTTAAGACAATGAGATAAACGCATGTGATGGAGAGAATATATCATCTTAATTGTTATTGATAGTTATATAATTTAATTCAATTTGAATGATATTACTATACAAATATAAATATGTAATTAGCAAGTATTTTTTATTGAATTAAGAGTTAACGAATATGCAAATTTTAAACGTGTACAGTCTAAGAAACCTTATACCATTGACAAAAAAAAATATAATTTATGTATGTATGATAATGTTTTATGGGGTGGCGATAAGGGTTTTATGATATATTGTATATAAATCTGATGATAAACAATTAATGATATTCTATAAACATAGAACCGTTGCCCGTGCATCGGGCAGACGGTGTGTCTGTTTCAAAAATTATGACTCCAAAACATTTAGAGACTAATATGTGTAACACCAAAAATGTGGTTGGAATGTAAGACAAGTCAAGTTACGAACTAGTTGTGCCACATCATGAACGATGAGGCCTAGCGGTTCATTGGTTATAACCTAAACTGTGAGGATTTGTTTCAATGGAGCTTAAACCGTTTCGAAGTACAATGTGGAGGCCATACATTATTGGTACTAAGGTGGCAACATTTGGTCATGGAGCCATTTTGTGCGCAATATGATAGCAAATGTGCTCTTAAAACCTCTTTTTTGTATCCTTTGTTGTTAAGATAATTAGAAGAAAAACATAGATAAAAAAACATAATTAAGTAAGAACAGTGAAAGAGCAAGAAGCATTAATAATTGAATCAAATATTTTTGTTCTAATACTTGTTCAGTAGCATTATGAAAACATTTGGGATAGAAATTAAGTTGATTACGAGCTCCTTAGACCTCTGAGTTGAGTAAAAACACCATTATTGGTGTTGTAATAGAACCAAAGAAAGAAATCATGAATTAATATATGTTAGTATGATTTGAGGATGTGCAAGCATGTGATGGTGGTCAGTAATGTATGTTGTTAGTGCGCTCAGGCAAAAAAAATGACAAAGTAATTTGCATTGTAATTAAAGTATTTGTGCCAAAAATGGTGAAATGTGCGAAATAGGAACCCGAAATCGGGTATGTGCACCGTGTTGGACCGTGCAAGATAAGCCTTTGATTTGACACGGTTGTGTGGGACTTATGAATTATTTTTCTGTGGCCATGCAAGACTGACACACTTATGTTTCTTAAAAGGGTACTGTTGGTAGCATTCGGTTGAGCCAACAAGTTTTTGGTATAATATAGCAGTATAGCATATTTACAACATGTGTAATAGTACTTGGCCATTCACTTAAGTGCATGTGTGTAAATGTTAATCATGTATCAATACCAGGCCTACACTATAAGGTGAGTTTCATGTGAATTTAACGGAATGCATTGTTTTGTGTAGGATGAGTATGCAGGAGTTGATGCATGTTATTGTTTATTGCTTTTAGCTTATCAACACATGTCAATGTCTTCGATATGTTATTGTGTTGCAAGTGAGAATGGCCTAGTACGACTTGGCATCCTTTGTCACGCATGAAGTGACCCAAAAGTGGTGTCTCTAAAACTTGAGTACCAACACAGTACATGGTGGCCTACATTAAACATCAAGAAGTAACAATGGGTTGATATACAAGTGCATGAATAGTTGAAATGCATGCGAGTCTAAGTCTTTAAACATTTTGATAAATTTTTACTTTAGTTAGGCCTAAATACCATTTTGATCCGCTTTTGGCCTTTGTTGTTTGGTCCTACAGGATTATGAGGAGGCCATACATTGGATTTCATTGTCCATTTATACTAGCGGTTCGTTATTTGGCTAATTTTTGGTTTTGTTATTATTATAGTATTTTAAGTTCGTGGCCATACATTGGATTTCATTGTCCATTTGTAAAGCTCGTGACTACGGTTAATTTATAGAAACCAGTATTTCCAAAGTTCCAATCAAGTATTCATCATTTCTTTGCTTTAGTACGTCTGTTTACTTTCGATTACGCTTTTAAAACAAAGTCGTGCATACGTAGCATTACATTGAACTTAAATCCATTTGTGGCTCGTAGTGAGTGTCTAAATAGCTGAAATCATTGTTTCCAAATGTTATCTCCAAGTATTCGAGTTTTCAGATGTAACCTTCCGCACAAGTTACTAAATCCTACAGCACTCCATAGCATTGTCTTTACTTTTATTTACTGTTTTCCGTTTTATTTTTCCCGCATTACATTTCAGTCATTTATATTCTAGTACTTTAATTTCTACAATTTACTTTCAGTCATTTACATTTTTGTGCAATTTACTTTCCATGCAATGTATTTTTCGTATTCACTTTAGAATTTAATAACTTGTGTAACAAGTTTCTTTTTTAGACTTCAAATACTTGAAGTTTTCACTTTGCATTTTCTATCTCCGTTTTTATTTTACAATTTATTTTACATCTTTCATTATAAGAATCCAAGAAATGATGGGTTAAACAACTTAGTTTGAGGTGTAAGGTAAAGTTATGACATAAACCAATGTCAAGTTAGAAAGGTGTTTCAAATATAGTATTTTTATTCAAAGTATATACTTTAAGTTATTAATATTTTATTGACGATTACATTTAATTAATTGACAACTAATTTTGTGTATGAAACTGTATTAACTTTCAGAGTTAAAATAAATATGAAAAAGTTGAGATAATATGAGAAGGCTAAAAATAGTTTTAGTATCTGACAAATGCTATACTCATCTGGTATAGGATGATAACGTTGTGTCGTGCTAGGTTTTACGACGTTTAACATAAATGATGTTGTATCGATAGCACGCCGCTTATGTGTACTCTTGGGAGATTGTCTGACCCGATAGTTGGATATATGTGACAGTACAATCGTACTAATCCGTATTAGGCTGTCCGGAGATACTATAACACACACATATATATATATATATATATATAGAGAGAGAGAGAGAGAGAGTTTGTTTCAAATGTAACTCATCACATTTGTACAACCAATGCAACCCAATAAATTGAAATATTTATAGAAATGATGAGAGTTCATTTATTATGATTTAAATATTTATGGAAGATGAATAATGTTCATTAATTATTATCAATACACTATATTAGGAAACAACTAAAACTTTTATAAAATTACATATTCATCAAATTAAATGGACGGTTGAAAATAAGTTATATTGGTTGTACAAATGTGAAGGGTTGTATATATATATATAGAGAGAGAGAGAGAGAAAGTTTACTTTGCAAACCACGTTATTTATACAAACCTAATTTCAACCAACCATAATTTTTCATTTTGTTCATTTCTTTTGTAATTATGAGAGGTTGATTAATCATTTTTATTGTGAATGGTGTTAATCATGGATATTATCATCTTCATTATTTTAATTTTATAGAAATACATGAAATAGTTTCATTAAAATTTTATTAAGTATTATATAAAACAATTTCATAACCATATATGAAACAACTTTATCAAAAAAAGTATTATATGAAACAATTTCATGAAAAAATTTCATAAGATTAAACAATGAAATCGACGGATGAGAGTGATATGCACAATTTGTACAAATTGAGTGGTTTGCATTTGATCACTCATATATATAAATGGGTTATCATACAACCCCTTACATTTGTACAACCAATACAATTCAATCTCAACCGTCCATTCAATTTGATGAATATGTAATTTTATAGAAGTTTTGATTGTTTCCTAATATAAAGTATTGATCATAATTAATGAACTTTATTCATCTTCCATAAATATTTAAATCATAATAAATGAACTCTCATCATTTTCATAAATATTTCAATTTATTAGGTTGCTTTGGTGGTACAAATACGACGGGTTGTATTTGAAACAAACTATCTCTCTCTCTTTCTCTCTCTCTCTCTCTCTCTCTCTCTCTATATATATATATATACATAATATATATATACATATATAGGGGCTTAATCAAATGAAAAGTGTTTTGTTTGTGGTAACCGTAAGATCCAATCTCAACCAATCATTTTAATATATTAATTGTTCTTTTTAAATTAATGTAAAAGGGCAAGATAGTAAATTACTAAATTTAGATTAAATATTTATTTATTTATTTCATACGTTTCAAACTTCCAATGCAGCGAGATAAATCTCCATTTTAATGTTTAGTTTTATTATTTGTCTCTATCGATATAAAACGATTTTATATGGTTTTGAGAAAGCAATAATTTTTTATTTTTGAATGAAATATAAATTTAAAGATATCATAAAAAAATAAAATCGATATTAGTATTAAACTAACTATTTAATCATATGTTCAAACGAGAAGACAAAGAGTTTCAAGATCATATATAATTACACATGATACGTAAAATTGCACATTTGATCACATATGATTAAACACATGTTGCATTGACTGACATATAACACCTTCCCCCACGACCTTTGGTCGCGTTTATTAAGTTGTCTGCGTCCCTATTGAATGTATATAATCATATATGATTTTGAAACTTCTCTTATTCTTCCAAATTTGATCAACTTATTATTTGATCCTTCCTCTCAAATATATAAATATACATATAATATGATATACTTTTAACCTTTTTAAGAAAAGATAAGAAAAAATGACTAAAATAACCATGAGTTAACCTTCTTAACAGAAAATTTTGATAAAGATAGTGACAGAAAAAACCCTTTTTATAAAAGGAACTTGGGATCATGTGAGACCAATGGTTTTTTGTGAGACCCGTAAGACCAATTCTCAACCCTTGGATTAGATCTACAATCTGAACATTCATAATCACAAAATTGCCACGAGACTTCTCAATAATCACAAAATTGCCAACGTGCAACTTTAGACCATTAGATCATTAGCTTATAAAGTTGATCAATGAACATAAATTGATCTTATGGGTCTCACGAAAAACCATTGATGTCACGTGAACCCAACCCAAAGCTTATAAAAGGCATATCACATAATACAATTCAATAATTATTTAAAAGGACTTAAGGAGTTATAACATATAACATATAGGGACGGAACATGCACTTTATTCATAATGAAAAGGACTTTCGGCGGCTAGGGTTTCAAAGAACTTGCTGTGCCGCACCTCCTTAAATAAACCACAAACTTGGAAGAAAAAAGACATCTGAAAATCATTTTGCAATGCCGGCGGCTCTTAAAGCTCAAGAACACATCGTGATTACGGATTTACGTCTCCGACACACGTTGTGTTCTTGAGATTTAGAAGCGCCGTCTCTGTAATCGGTTTCATCTGCGCTATCTAATGATGGTTGCTGTTTAGGGTTAGGTCGTGTTTATGGGGTTCTGGAGGCTATGACACTTGGTAGCGATAATCGTTCGTTTGATCTGTCGTCGCAACTCCTTGAATCACCACAATATCATACGATGCCGGCGACTCATAAAGCTCAGAAAGACATCGTCGATACGGATGTGTACTTTTTCCGGCCGTACGGTTTCTTTCTGAGTTTTAGAAGCGCCTACACTCGTAGTCACTTCATCTCCGGCCGCTAGTGATCTTAGTGGTAATCGTTAGTCAAGATCTGTTTGTAAGTATTTTGATCATATTTGATTCTTAACGCGAATCGGTGATTGCTTTTCAGATTATGGCGAAATCGAGGTTCGCTGTTTCTTCCCGATTTATGGATTTAGCTTTTGGATGAATTTCAACAAATTTTCTTCACTAATCTTTGTTAATTTATGAATTTTTTTAGGTTTTCGGATTTTAGGTGATCAGGAACATGGTTCTAGTAGCATGTGAAATACATTTTTGTATGCAAAGAGTAGATTGTCCTCCATTTTAACTGATTTGCCAAATTGCAGATATCGAGCCGGAGGTCCGAACACCATCTCAGATCAAACAGAAGATGGATTGTGAAATCCCAAAGGGGATTGGTATTTTGTAGGATTTGTTTATAATAATGTTTTAAAATATGTTAAAATTATTTGTTTTGTAATAATTAAATTAAATTAAATTATTTTTATAACTATTTAATTTAATTTGGTTGGTATATCTTGATACAGTCTGCGTTACAATTTTAAATTAATATTTTTAACAACTAGATCTAGATACATTAATATCATCGAATATGGTAAGGACTAGGAGTTGTTTGGTAATTGTTGAATGGTTTGGTGCAGAATGATTAAGTGGTCAAAATAATTAAGAGGTTTTCATGATATAGTGTAAAATAAAATATAATTATTTGGTAATTATGTACAATGAAATTAGGGGAGATCCAATATATAAAATCATTCAAAGGGTTATAGAACCATTAAGAGACAGACTTTTTTTTGCCAAATAAGATTCACCTCTTAACGATTAAGAGGTTGTCTCTTAATAGAACCATTAAGAGGTAAATAAACAACTTCTAAGAATCTTACCTGGTAAGAGCGGGATAAGGACCATGAGTCTTACCCGGTAAGTGAGGGCGACGACTTTTAGCACGACAAGCGTTTACCGGATGAATTGTTGCATACAATGTCGTTTTGATGGATTAAAATCTTACTCGGTAAGTAATAATAGTGTTAAAATTTACCGACAAACACTTACCGGATAAGTGTTTGATAAACGGCTCTTAAGTAACTTTGGCTGCCCTTGGCCAACATCATCACATAACCACATCAAAACATACAATACATGTTCTTCTTGATTTTACTTTCACAAAGAAAACAAGAAACAGATTTACCATTCGATTCAATTTTCAATACAAATGCAACATATTCCCCTTCACATTAACGGAAAAAAAAAATTCACAAAAAATTGGCGTTTTCGACTACATATTTTCAGCAAAACTCAACAAAAGTGTACGGTGTTAGATGCCGGAAGCATTGAGGGCCATTAGCTTGCATTGTTCACTCATGGCCACGAGTTGGGCCTCTTTTTTGTCAAGAAGAGCATTCAACCTCATATTTTCGTCCATAAGTTTCTGGACTTCCGCTTCTTTCTGCTTCTTTTCGGTCTCTAGTTGTGTCGTCTTTACAACTAACCTGTTCACAAGGAAAAAGTAAAACCTTAATCACACAGCAATCCTATAAACTCCGAACCACAAGGGTTCACGTTTTCTGTAGGTTCAGCATCACCTCCGCTCCTAAAAAGTCAATATTTGACTTTTGAGTGACAAATGAGTTACAATCAAAGTGAACCAATCCGAACCAAACAAACCCAATATATCATGTTCGAAAGCAGGTCCATGAGGAGTGGGATGTACGCAATCTTAGGCATCTATCCCTTGGGGGTAGAGGAAAGGTCGGCGTATATCCTATCCCTAGACCCTACCTCTGTATGAGATTTTTATTCCTCCTTGGATTTGAACCTGAGCCCTCCTGGTACTTTTGACCAAGCTCAAACCAATCAGGCACCATCCTTGTGGTTGTTTTGTTCCAATTTTAGTGGAAAGAAGAATTTTTTTCTAATAAAGTTTCAAAATTTCTTATTTTGTACCCATTCTTGACCAACCTAGTAACCTGTTAATCTTGTAACATCTGATGACGTGGATACTTAATTAAGAAATGTTAATTATTATGGCTAAGTGCACCATAAACTTGACATCCACGTCATGAAATGTTACATTAAAAAGGAAATTTTGTTACATTAATTGAGAAATTTTGGGACTTTGTTACATCAAATAGGAAATGTGGAAACTGTGTTACATTGATTGAGAAAAAAAATTGTTACACTAAATAGGAACCGAGACAAGCATTTTGATGCATTTTGCCCTAAAACTAAATGCATGTTCCGTACTCAAAGTATGTGCTAGTAATAAGATAAGATACTGTCACAGTCCCACATCGGCTAGACTTTAACCATTTCCCTTTTATATATCTTGGAACTCTTCGATGGCTTTTTTGAATAGTAATCTAATGGCCAATTGGGTTCCAAACTAGAAGTACATGTGGAGCAAGACGAAGTAATAAGCATATAAACGAATTTGATTTGTTAAAACGGTTTCTAAAGATAAAGTAAACAGAAAACAAACTGACCTTTCAAAAAGCTTCTCGATGGTTTGAAACTGCTTTTCTGACGAAACAAGCGTTTCTCGCACACTGATGAGACTACTAACATAGGATTTTAACGATTCAAAATCGCGTTTAACACGAATAAGCTCCTCTTCATTCTCTGTTGCACGCTGCCTCTGTCTAGACGTTTCTTCAACCAAATTGTCAACCCACTGCCGCATTTCATTCAGGATACAGTTTGTATCCAGTGCAAACCGATCCATCTCATCTAACTTCTCCGACATGCTCTCAATCTGGATTTCCTTCTTAATGATCTCTTCCTGACTCAACGTTACTTTATGTTTCTCATTAGCAGTTTCAGATTCTGCCATTAGTACCCTTTTGAGAAGAGACTCCATCACATCTGTGATCATTTGCACACTATTGAGCACTTCACTGATGTAAACCCCATCTTGTTTATCATGTTGGTTATTAATACCGATCCATGTTTCGACATCTGGGCAGTCAACATTGGAAAAATCAAGATTTCTTGACCAATTAGACATGGGTGTGCCGTTTCTATCAACAAAACCTGCCCCATCTGAGTATGTGATGCCACAGGAGGTAAGGGCTAAATTGGGAATAGTCATTATTCTTGCTTTCGATTTCAAATACGTCAATAAAGATGCCGTTGTTTTCACTCTCCGCCAAAGTACCTCCAATTCCGTTTTAGAATCTCCGCTAGATTCATGAGTGCATGAAGTAACCTCACCAAGTTGTCCTTGCAATAAATCTAATGGATAATTATTGTGCTCCATCTCATGTTCTGATAGTGATTGTGTTTGGCTTGATTGAGAGTTCAAAGTTGAAATTTCAACATCCTCCCCACCTCCCATCATTTCTCCAAACAAGAAAACCAAATATTAGGACCAAAGTATAAACGAAACCAATCCAATCCAATTCGTTGAAATAAACTCATTTCAGTCCAACACACATTCCATATTACCAGAAAGTATAAACGAAACCAATCCAATCCAATTCGTTGAAATAAACTCATTTCAGTCCAACACACATTCCATATTACCAGAAAGTATAAACGAAACCAATCCAATCCAATCCAATTGTAACCAGTATATCTCACTTGACAGTAAGGATAAATTGGTTGGTTTTATTTCATACTTCCATGAGTATGTTTGAACGAAAAACAAGGAATTTGACAGAATGGGAAACCTGAACGGAATGCTCCAATCGATCCCACAAGTGCAAAAATAACAATTCATTCCGTCGGAATGATTCTTCCCATTCCATCGTCAATTCCAACTTGCCAAACAGATTCAAGGCATTTAGCGTGTGAATATCAAAATTCATGTAGAAGCCAACTTGTGTTTCTAACAATCATAAGCTTCTATATAAGAACGACTCTCTGGATACAAATTTATTATTTCATGTTATCGAACATTAAAGGCTGACAACAACATTGACGTTCAAAAACCAGAATGGAACTTGAAATCCCAGGTTATATCAGATTCTTTATTACGCGAAATTTGACCATGTTTTGACAAATTCCTGAAAGAAGCATTGCATGCTTGCAAAGACACTTAAATGATGCTGAATTAAAGCAATTAGACTGACAGGAATATCAGAATTAAAGTTTACAAGAAACTAACACAAAAGTCGAATTTGTTTCCCAACTTGCATAACAAATTTTAACAATATAAGCTAATTTAAACCGATAAAGGTATCAACTTAAACTCCTGTTGCTTTCAATTTAAAACGACAATAGAATATTGTTCTCTATCGTTGAAAAGGAAAAAAGCAACGGTTTTTTACGAACTTAAAAGGTAATAAGAGCGATCAACATTTCGAATCACTGTAATTTTCACTTCAATTTGGCCTAAAATAGCAAACACAACCCTGGTTTCCAAGTTCTCTTTCTAGTGTTTCTTGTCATTTTCTGCCAATTTAAGTGTTATTTTCAGCATTTGCCAAAAGTATGTTGAAGCCTTAATCATTCAGCATCAAATACATAAACAAGAGTTGGATAAGACCCAAAAAGACAGAGGAAAATGAAGATACAAAAACCATATCATTTACAAGAAAATACAAAATCTCAACGTAATCTTAAACAAAAATAAACTACCGAATCATTTGAGGGTTTAAAATAAACAATAAGAAACAATTAATCCAAACAGTACAAAGAGATGGTCGGATTTTATGCCCAATTGAGTGTTCTTCTTGGTTTCTAGATTTTCACAGGTATATCGGTTGTTTAATAACGATGGGCGAATTACAGTGGCTTGAAATGCTAATCACTTAAAACCCAAATAGAAAATCTGATCAAACCCTAGTAAATCAAAATGAATGATGAAAAATAAAGCACTTAACGAGGAAAATACATTCATCTACAAAAATGTAAAGGTGCAAGAACATGCAATTGAATGTCAAACAATTGGGAAATTTTCAAAGGAGGAACTCAGGATTACCTTTTTTTTAATCCGATTAAGAATCTTGGGAGGTTTTTATCTGAAACGGAGTTTAGATTCAGACGATTATCGGGAAGGAGGCGGCCGAGATGATCATAATCGGCCGATGACGATGATCTTCGCAGCTCCCCCTCTCAATTCAATGTGTTTTTCTCCAATTCAATTATTGTTCTTTGACGAGAAAATTTATTATTAACAACAATTAACATATTAATTAATCTATACTATATTATAAAATATTTAATAAAAAAATTTAAAAATTATTTTTTATGAATTAATTATTGTTTATTGATATATATTACTTAAATTAAATATTATAAATAAATTATTAGTATGTACAACTTATTAAAGTTTCATGTTTGAATTCATGTAACTAACTGTACATAAATATAATTAAATACTGAATAGGTATTTCATTTTAAATATAAAAAGTCTAAAATATATTTAAGATAATCATTAAATTATAACAAAAGACTAATCATTGTCTCTTTTCGGATGGTAAATATTTCTAAGAACATGGAGTATGAATCAAACTCATGTTTGAATTGAAATTGAGATAAAAAAATTATATTATTAAATAAAAAATAAACGACTTTATTATGTCTAGATAAACAACAAATAGCTGGCGGAAAATTTGAGAATTTCTTATTTGATTAAGCCAATTTCTTATATAAATTATAGTGTTGACTCTTATAGGTAATCACTTACCGTTTACCGGGTAAGCATTTAAGTAAACAACCTCTGATGGCAACATATGATTGATATATGATGTATGATATATGATTGATTAGTATTATATTATTGAAATTTAATATAACATAAATAGATATATGATTTATTAATATTTTTACATGAATTTGAAAATAAAAAATGTTTAATCTCAAGTAGGATAAAAAATGTTTATTCCCCATGAAACACAACATTTCAATTCTTCATAACAAAAATAGACCGAACTTCTTATAATTTTTAACAAAAAAAAATTATATATATATATATATATATATATATATATATGGGCTCATTTAAGGGAGAATTGATTAGCGTGTGATAACCGTGAGATCCAATGTGAACAACTCGGTTGAGATATGTAAGGATATTTCTTAAATAAGCTAAAAGGGTAATATAATAATTAAATTTGACAACTCGGTTGAAATATTTAATTAAAATTAGTTACATAGTATATCAATTACCTAATATACATCGTATTTTAAAAACGTTTGTGAACCAAAGTGTATCATAATGTATTTTCTTTGTTTTATGAAATGTATCATAATGTGCATTTTCGTTATTTTCATTGATTTACAATGGGTATCACATTGTTGCATCTTGTATGTATATCTGGGTATCATAGTGAATATCGTTTGTAGGTATCACAGTGTGTATCTCGTGTTCACGTAAGGTTCATCGGAATAAGGTTCACCGGAGAGAGGAAATAGGAGACATGAGAGAGAATATTTATAAAATCCTTAAAATACCCTTAATTAATATTTTAAGTTAAAATTACCAAAGTTATTAATTTCCTAACCCTTAACAGCATGAACCAAGTGCAAGAGCAAAGCTCTACCAATGAAGTTATATCCCCTCGAGCCAAATGGAACATGCATGAAGGAGTCAGATGTTTCTTCTGTTCTTTTCCCTGGCACAATTAGACCATCCTGGACTTAAAGCCAAAATCAAGCTTTAAGATCCCTCGTATTAATCATCATAAATTGTAACATGTTACTAAATATTACATAGGAATTAAACATGTAAAACAACAAAATCTAACACAAATGAAATATTCCGTACAAGATTACTTTCACATAAAATAAAACCATCGGTGGATCCTATTCATGTAGTAAAACTTAACGTACGTCGGCCCCGACCCCACTGTTATACGAAGATCAGAATTAATCTGAAACAGATTTCTTCATTTTAAAGATTTAGATTTCTTTTTGGAGAAAATCCCACCAAGTGAAGGAATTAGAGGTTTTTTTAGGGTTTTCTTCTTGAGTGAAGATGGGCTTGTTTCTTGCATTTTGGGTGCTTCAACCATCACTTTGGTTAGAGAAGGAGGACTAGCAAACTTCACGGATCTCTTCTTTTCCAAACCGAATAGTTCATCGTCGCTTTCGGGGTGATTTACTCCAACTCTGATTGGATTTCCCGTGAATTTGATCTCTTCTATCTCCTTAACGACAGGCGGAGATTGTTTCGGATGATCAGGTTCTCTATCTCTTCTCGACTTCAATTGTTTCAGCTCGGATTTAGTCTCTTCAAGCTCTTGTTTGAGCGATGCGAGATAGTAAGCCATGCATGTGTCCTCTTCTTTCGCTCTTTCAAGGGTTTGTTTAGTCTCTTCGAGCTCGGCTGCTATCGCGCCAACTTTAGTTCGGTATTGATGGTTGTTTTCCCTTTCTACGGTCTCCGTCTACCAAAACAAGTTATACGATCACAAACTATGTTGGTTAATTTCTTCTTTCAAATTCCAATAATCTTCTGCAAATCGAATAATTTTGTTCTTCGAACAAAAGGGTGACCCACTCCATCAAGAATCATCGATCGAAGAACAAAGGGATGTACCAAAATGAAATTGGTTTGATAAAATGTCATGTCTAGACTGCTTTATATGACTTTAGTTTATAATAACACCGACAATTGTGCGTCTTATATGAATGTGTTACAATGTAAGTTGGCGACTTTGAAATAAAATGTAATGTTAGCCTTTTTGTGTGATTTATTTGAAAAAAAATGTGTTAAGAAAACAAATGTCCTAAGATTCAAAAAATATTTTTCAAAAAATGTCCTGTAAAAAACTAACAAGACACTTTATTTCAAAAGTGTCCTAAAATTTGTTAGTCTGTCCAAATACGTCGTAACATTCTATTGTAACTTTTTTACTGCACAATTGTTTGATTCTATAAACTCAAGTCATATAAATTAAGTTGTCTATTCAAACATTTAACATCTCCGACATATATCAGACCGATTCTATACTGACATTTATGCCAATTATGGATATTCAATTCATCTAGAAGTAGGTTCAAACGAGAACATTAACTAAATAAACGAATACAAAACAATAAATCACATATAAAATCACATTTGATTTTACAGTAATGGTCAATGTAAGGGTGTGCGGAGACATGGCCCACGACCTCAGGTCGCAGACAAAGCCGCGTGAATCACATATGATGTTACACATGACTTTAATGTAAAATCACATTGATTCGATTGTTTTTTTTGTTTTCTTATTATGTTACTGTTCTCATATGAACCTGACTCAAATCAAATATATACTTATATATATACTCATATACATATGGAGGGGTTAGCTAGGTTATTACCATGAAAAATTATGATTGGTTGAATGAGGTTTTCACG